GGGGGGCCTCCAGGCACCCGGCGCCAGGCTGGAGAGCGGCGGAGGGCAGCCAGCTGAGCCTCGGCTGCCAGACACGCACCAGGCACCTGACCCGGTGCCCAGGGTGGAAAGGTCCACCCGGAGAGAAGGCCACATACGGCAGCGCTGTCTCCGGCACAAGCTTTAGGGTGGCTTGTCGCACGGCAACGGAGAAGCCCAGCTGTATTGACCAGCTGAGACCCAGTCCCCTTCTCTGGAGGGGGCGCAGGGGGCTGGGGGACACGGTCCAAGCAGCAGCCTCGCCTGACCTGCCGGTACGGAGCCAAGGGTCCTGTCCTGGCAGCGTGCCAAACCCTCCCCCGATCCCCATGAGCAGGCTGCCCTGGAGGCGTCCGAGCCCTGCAGGTCCACGCCGGACGCCTGCTCTTGGGGCTCCTCTGAGGTCCTGCTCTTCACCGGGGGCCCCAACTGGCAGCTCCTGAGCCCCTGGACCAGCCAACACGGAGGCCCCCAGCAGCCAGGGCCTCACCAGGTCCCTGCCCCCGCGAGAACACGCATGACGCCTGCCTACCCCCAGCGAGAACACACGTGACGCCTGCCACAGCTGCTCCAGCCGGGCTGGTGCCCCCTCCCCTGGGGTCCACACCCCTCTGGGCTGTGCCCACCACCCCATCTGCTCAATTGGTCCTGAGCTGACCGCAACACAACGTGGTGAGAACACACCTACACGCTGGTTCAGTGCCGAGACAACTGCCACAACTCCTGTTCAGGGACCACGAGACAAACCCCCTTGGCCCCGAGCAGGTGAGCGTCATCGGAACGGCCATCTCGGGAATCTGTCACGTCAGCAGGTCCCCAGGCACCTGACTCTGCGGGCGACGCCCGCGATGAAGGCTGGGCTGCCTGCCTGTCCTTGGCCGGGGGCTCCCGCGCTGTGCCGTGGGGAGCACGGGCCTGGCAAGCAGAGCCCGTACTGGATGTACTCGCTGGACCCCTCGCTCTGTCCGTACTTCTGACGAGCAGGTCAAGGAGTGACGGGCGGCCCGGAAGCGGGGTGCGAGGTGCCCCGACCTGGGAAGGGCGTTTTGCACGCGGCCAGACAGCGCTGCTGCTTTTAGAGACAGACACGTAGCCTGCCGCACGAGGGGCTTAACGGAGCTGCCCACAGTGACACGGCAGCCGGCACAGGACCGTGTCACCGTCCCGCACCGTCCACCCCGGGGTGACCCGGGTTCTGCTCCAGCTCAGCTGGGAGGCGCCTGATCACTCGAGTGGACAGGGTGCCTGTCGTGAGGTGGCCAATCTGCCAGGCTTCTGTCCCGTTTGTCGTGCTGACTTTTTAGAGAAAGGGAGCTGGGTCCCCACCCCGGGCGCTCGCCCCCACACACTGGTGCTGCCCCAGCGGGGCCCCCGGGAGGTGTTCGGCTGGGCGCTGCAAGGGCAGGCATGCTCCTGGGCTACGGCCGCTGGTGGGGGGTGCCTGGGACGCTGAGCGGGCAGGGCCTCCAAGTGAGTGGCCGCAGGTCTGGGAAGGACGCTGCCCCTGGTGGGACTGTCCTCTGCAGCCTCTGTGCCCCGTTCAGACCCAATGTTCTAACACCCTCGTTCTCCAGTTTCCAACGGGAAGCAGCAAGCATCCATGTGATGGAGAGCCTGGCGGATTTTGTTTTTAGTGCATCTGTGCTCTGCTGTGCTCCTGGGAGGACTTCCCCAGCCAGGGATGACTCCAAAGCGTGCGACCCACACACTCCAGCACCAGCGTCGTGCGCCGACGCCCGTGGTAAAGCAGCACCGAGGAGCCCTCTCCCAGGACGCTCGTGGGAAGGGCAGCCTGACAAGCAGGTCTGACAATGGGGTCACCGTCACTTGTCCTCAAGTACCTCCTGGTGTGGGTTACGACTGGCCTCACCCGTCTGCCAGGCCGAGGACCCCGGGCCGGGCTGTGAGCAGTGGCTGGGCCCGTGAGTGTGGGCCCAGTGTGTGGCCACCACAGGATCCGGTCCCCAAGGAAGGGCAGCTGAGAGCGACAGGGGCCGGGAATGGTGCTCACGGCAGCCGTGGCATGAGGAAGGACAGGGGCCAGCTAGACGAGGGGCTGCTCCAAGCCAGGACGGGAAGGCAGAGGCCAGGCATGGGGAGAGGACTGGCAAAGGCTGGGGGCCACGGAAGGACTTGGGAGCCTTCTAGACCCTGAGAGGATCATCCCCTCCCCGGCTAAATCATCAGGAGAAATTAATGTAACCACACGACCACAGAATTTTCAGAGCAGGAAGGCGCCTGTCAAGTTATCACAAGGAAAGGGGCTGAGAGTCTCCAAGACCACACAGCTCCAGGCGCCAGCTCCTGGCTGTGAGCCACGGCCTTGGCCACCGCCCTCCCTCCAGCACTGCCAGGCCCGCTGGGCCGCACATACCCGATGGGCTTCCCGGCCTGGTGGAACTCCTTCAGGACGCGCTCCACGTCTTTATTCACCCTGCAGTCGCCCCCGTCTACGGCGAACGTGCTCCTGCCACGAGAAGAGGCTTCCTTAGACCGCAGGGCTCAACATCTGCCTGCCTGGGGAGCCCCCAGCCCCACTCCCCACCCCCCGGGATCCTGCGTGCTCCACGAACTTCTCAGCAACCGCAGAAAGTGACACGTGCGTGCGAGTACGTGTGCACGGCCTTTCATGTAATTACACGCATACGCGTGTATTTTTTTCTATTTTTTGAAACACAAAGCAGCGTGGGAGGTTAAAGGCAGGGCCAGCAGAGGGGAAGGAGAAGCTGGCACGCAGGCGCTCGGGCCGTGAGCTCGGCCAACCCAGGAACGGCAGGACGTGCCATTGGCCCCAAACCAGTGACAGATCCTGCACTTCACTAACAAGGAAAAGCAGCCCGAATCAAACAAGACCCCGTCTTTTTCACCACAGCAAGACCGCTGGGGTGTCTGGAATGTTCTCCCTCCCAGTCGGTGGGCTCACACCAGTACCATCTCTTTGGAGGGCAAACTCAGACCCATCAAATTTCAAAGGCCACGCCTCTCTGCCAGGAGCCCCATCCCGGGCTTCCTCCGCCTCATTCACGTGGTTGATGCCTCTGCCCCGGGCACCCCGTGCGTCGCGCGCACAACGGGACAACCTGTGGGTGTGAGGGATGCTGGCTACCCTGAAGTGGTTTCTCAGGGTGCGTAAGCGTCTCAAAACAGGTCAGGTTATATACTTTAAATACACGTACATTAGTCGTACCTCCAAAAGGTATAAAACAAAACAGAGAACGGGAAGTCCGGGAGTCCTGTCAGCACTGGGTCACCTATACAACGGGATCTGTGTGCGGCTGCCAGACATTTAAGGGACAAGCCTCAGCGTTAAGCGAAAGACACAAAGTGCAGAACGAGAGGCTACCATCTGGTTGGATTTTTAACGCAGACATATAAGTGAATCTCTCGGAAAATGAAAAGCTAGCAGCATTGCCAGAGGTGATCCTGGGGTCCCAAGCAGGAAGAACTGGGTTTCCACAGTGAATATGTCATACAGACCTCGCCTGCTGCCCCCATGTGCACCGCACAGACCGCTGGTGAGCCAGCCTTTCCTCTGGAAAGGTCAGAAAGACTGGGACCAGTGGCCAGAAATCACAGCTTCCCCCAGGGGTCTGGGAGGTCACAGACATGAATGCAGACCCAAGGCCCTGCTTCCTTGTACACCGAGACGCACCACCACTAAGTCACCCGAGGCAGGCTGTCAGCCACACCAGGGACATAACTCCAACGAACCCTCAAGCTACCCTCACGCCAGGCGAGGTCTAAGGGCTGAGGGGAGGCACAGGGTCTGTGAATCCAGCTCATCTTTCAGAGAAAGAAACCCGGTCCCGTAAGAAGGACAAGCCCAGCTGACGCAGACTGTGATCCGCCATCTCCCGCCAGGGGGCTCAGGAGGATGGCGCTGCAGGGAAAGCACTCCCAGGCTGGCTCTGGGAGAGGGAGTGGACACGAGGCGGGGCAGGGGTCCAGGCAGGAGGAAGGACTGTGGGAAAACCGGTGGGAACGTGGAGAAAAGAGGTGCTCTGGTGACGGCCGCAAGCAGAAAGGAGCCTCAAGATGTCAGGACGCGGAAGGACCGAGCGCAGAGGTGGACCTCAGGGAACGTAACCGCCTCTGCCCCTGCTCCTGGGTGCACGGCGCCCGGACAGACAGAGCGCCAGCTGGGAGGCCCTCGCGCTGCTGCAGGAACCTCAATGACCAAGCGGTCAACTGACCAAAACGCATGTAGTCCAGGCTGTGACGCATGCTGCACCGTGTTTAAAGCCCCAAAGCCGCGGGGCGCAGCTGCTGGGTGCTTTCCTGCAGCCCCCGAGCCCCCTCCGTCACGGAAGCAGCAGCCCCGCGCCACATCAGAAGGGATGTGCTGGGCCAGCAAGGCCAGCGCGAGAGAATTTCCATGAAACGCGGAGAAGAAAGAAAGGAAACGAGAGAACAAAAAGAGAACCTGAAACCCAAAGTACATCACAGCTGCGGTGTGATGGCCGCCTAGGCTTGAGGTCCAGTTACCGTGGCAACAACCCAAACAGCAAAAAAAAGATCTCCCTTCCTCTGGTCAGGACCGTCCTCCAAACGGCCTAACCAGAAAGGCACTTTCCTGTGCTGCAAGGTCCACGGGAGAGCAGGTGTCTGTGGGGAACACGTACACGGACGGGTTCTGATGTGATGAGACCCCTAGCACCACACCTGGATGGCCAGGTCCCAGGAGCCTCCTCCCACCGGGGTTCCCTGTCATGGGGCAGCTGCGTCGTCGCTGGGCCAGACCCCCCAAGAGCTGCTCCCATCACCACCGCATCCCCATCTAACGGTCCAGGGAAAAAGCAGGAGAGCCCCGAGCCGAAACACGTACAGGTTTTTGGCGGCTCCGAAGCCCCCGGGGAAGACGGCCGCGTCGTGGTTGGCAGCGCTGAGTTTGGCCAGGTCGGTGATGTTGCCGCGGGCGATCCTCGC